CAAAATTTTATTTTAATTTAACTGTTAAAAATAATTAATAATTAATAAAATAATTAATTTTATTATTTAATAAATTAAAATCAATTATAAAAAAATATTTTCAAAAATCATATCAACTGTTTACAAAAATTATAAATAAATTGATGGCCTACACAATTTAGATGGTGGCAATATCGTGCGTAGCCCCATACATACTAATATGCTGTAATGCCTTCTTTGCAAAGTGCAAACTCGTTAGAGAAAAGAACTTCTCTAGTTTCCAAGCAAGAAAATGCTTGTTAAGTTTTTTTAAAGGACAATGATAAGCTTACCCTCTGCTGTTACACATCTATCCACACACTAACGGAATCCGTAAAGTACACTAACGGAATCCGTCAAGTACACACCGATCATTCTTCTTCTTTCCCTCACCTCTTTTTTTCTTTTTCTTTTTTTTTTTTCTCTCTCTTTCGGTGGAAAACCTGAGCTGGGTAACAAACACCGTCAATTTGCATAACAGAGATAGTTAGGGTGTAATAAAATGTGTAACGTTAGAGTGTATGTATATCTTTATCCTTTTCTAAAAATCAAAACAATATGTTGTCAACACTCATTTTCAGCACTCGAAATAAAATACAAAAATTTTGAACTGTTTAAAAAAAAAAAAAAACTAAAAATCCAAGAACTAAAGGGATGCCAAATTGATCCCAAGTTTCACATGAAGTTAGAAGCATATACCTGGGATGCAATTGAAGAGTTTGCCAGGGAAAACACTGCAATCCCTACTACTCTCGACAACCAAAAAGCTCACTATTGTGGCAATATAATTACAAGCAGCATGTCTCAAGATTAATAGTAAAGAAAGACCCTTTCAATAGCTAAATCAGTAGATTGGTCCACTGCATTTCTACAACCCAACTTCATAAGACCTACTCTTCCCCAAACATGTGATAGCAAAGAATAAAACATACATACATCCTTTCAATTAATGCTAAAGTTTTCAATCCACATTGTAGATACCAGTAAGTTTCTTTAAAGTTATGATCCCTTGATGTCCATTTATACAATAATGAATATAAAAACAGCAGAATGAAAAAACGGAAAGAAAATAGCTAGATCTCCAATATTAGACTTTGGATCAAAAGATCCACATAGCTCCTTATAATTCCTCTCCCCGTAAGGAAGGTGAATTGCACAAATAAACCACCTTAATGGAATTTATTAGTAAGTAATCAAGTCAGAACTGAAATGGATACAAGAATTGTTAATGCTCAAAGCTAGAATGGCATTTGCAATGTAACTCTTAAGTCAGTGTTTGGTTGTATTTTTTTGCTACTATAGTTCTTTCAATCAAGCAACCATGTCTTAATTTAGATACTTGCTATATGTATGGTGTTTGATGGATTAAGTGGAGTTAGAACAAACACCATTCAATGTAATACTGTTGGCACTAGAATACCTTCAATTTGTAATCTCTAAGATACAATCAGTGATGAATGAAATACTAGAGAGAAAAAAACCAGAGCCTGAGCTCCTAGCGGGGAGCCAATCTTCATCTCCATTTCTTCTTGTTCTTTTTTCTGGAAAATACCAGCAACTGCATTAACAAGAATAACGAAAATGAGATTTTTCATAAATTAAGAACTGATGGCACATGATTTGATTCTTTGCCCCAAAATGAAAAAATAGTAGTGTAAATTTCTAGGACTAACTTACCTAACCGATTAAGGAATAAATACGCCAAGAATTCCATATCCATTCAATTGATCAAGGAATTTCTCACCTGATTAGTTAATTAGCTTTAAAAGGATTTGGTTGTATATATTTCAATCAAATGTATCCTTAACCATAGATTGGTCCCTAATTAAATAAATTTTTAAGATACAATATGTATTTTTTTAAAAAAAAATTTCTACATAATTATTTAGAAAAGGGATTTTTCTTTCTCCTCACATCTTCATTTCTTGGTCCTTTCCTTCATTTCCATGCAGGGAGAAAAGAAGCAAAGAATATAAACATAAACACAAACATATAGATAAATATGGTAATGCAGCTGAATATTGAATTATTACCTTTTACTATGCTGCATTTCCCATTGAAAATGAATTGGTCTATCAAGATGGATGCCTTGCATTTCTATCCGGCGGAGCTACTGGGTGGCGTTGTGGCTGTGGTTGCCATATGCGGCACAGTTGCATACATTTATCGCAACAGAAGACGCTGTCGCCAGGGTTAGATCACCTGTGCCACCCCTTTTTCCACTTTCATATCATGCACAAGTTGAACACGAAAGTGTATTATTTTCTCAGGTTGCTTGGACCCTGAAAATTTTAAGGAGTTCAAACTGGTAAAAAAAACTCCACTCAATCAATATGCTGCAAAATTCAGATTTGCTCTTCCTTCATCCTCTTCAATATTGGGCGTTCCTGTTGGACAGCACGTAATTTGCAGGTTAATTATTAACTCAATGTTTCAATTCAAATGCATGACGTTTTAGTTTTTTCTTTGGAATTTCACCATATCTGTATCCTGTCATATCCGTATCCTGTATTAGTCTTCATCACGAGGTATAATTTCAGGGGAACAGATTCTAAAGGTGAAGAAGTGATCAGACCATATTGCCCGATTACTCTGGATTCTGATGTTGGATACTTTGAATTGGTTGTAAAGGTTGAAATCCTTAATTCTTGCTCTTGTTCCATGTGCTTATCTCATTTGCATTTTTAACCTTCATCTCCATGCTTAGATGTATCCACAAGGAAAAATGTCCCATCATTTTAGACAGATGCGCGAGGGTGATCTCCTTGCTGTGAAGGGACCAGCGGTACATATTTTCACGCTTTCTAAATCTTAAGCATACCAATACTTTTCAGATTCATGTTATATATCATACATCTTGGCTTTGTGATTAAAGGGAAGATTCAGGTACACACCTGGCCAAGCTCGAGCTTTTGGGTTGCTTGCTGGAGGCAGCGGTATTACCCAAATGTTTCAGGCATGTATTTAAGCTTCTCCCCAGAATGTAAGTGTTTTTGAGCAACTTCAAGGCATATAATGCAGTCGTTTCTTTTCCTTCCTCCAGATTGTACGAGCTATACTGGAGAACCCAAGAGACAAGACAATTGCGCATCTCATTTATGCTAATGCCACCTTAGACGACATTCTCTTGAAGGTAAGCTTAACCTGTCAGCTTGAACTTTTCAAGTTGATCAGTTCTTTGGTATCCGTAAATATTCACAAATTCAAAGACAAAAAATCCCTAAACTCTTAATGATGTGCAGGAAGAGCTTGATGCATATGCTAGCAAATTCCCCGAACGTTTCAAAGTTTATTATGTTTTAGAGAAGGTAGCTAGCTAGGCATACCATATATACTCTTTCCAGCTTCACTTAAACGTTCATGATGTGATGCAATACTTTCCCATTTTTCCAGCCTCCTCCTAAATGGGAATATGGTGTTGGGTATATCTCCAAGGAAATGATTCAGAGGCATTGCCCACCTCCAGCCCCTGATATTCAGGTTAATCTACTGACTATTAGTAAGATTTTCCCCATTGGCCACATCAAAATATGCTGCTAAAGGGAATATTTTTTTCAATTCTGCAGATATTGATTTGCGGTTCAGAAGGCATGAACAGAGCCATGACTGATCATCTAAATGCACTAGGATACACACCCAATATGCAATTTGTATTCTGAGAAAATGAAGCTTCTGTGAGTCTCTTGCATTTGAATAAATGTTTCAGGATAACAATCACGAGTTTCATTGAACATCAAGATAAAATGAAACTTCACACCATTTAAAGAAATTGTAATTATTTTATATCTTGAAGATGTACAACTTAACAATCTTTAATTAGCATTGACAGCCTGAATTCTACTCCACTAGAACAAATTAAGTAAAATAAATTCCAAATTGGTGTGTCGGAGAGGGAGATAAATAAGAATCTCAGGATTTATGGAAAAAAGAAGAAGAGGAAGAAAAAGAACAAAGATTAAGGCCAGAATGGGAGCACAGAAAGTAACGCAAAAGACCAAAAAACCGGAGAGACAATTGGTGACACTCAAAATTAATTACTTTTTTTATATATGTTACCAAGTAATTATAATTTTTTAAATTAGTTTGTATAACTTTTATTTTAAAATACATATTATAGATATAATAAATATTTTTTTAATTAATTTATATAAAAAATTATAAAAATTAATATATGTTTTATATTACTAATATGTAAATAATTTTAATTAATTAATTAATTAATTATATTTTTAATAAAAATTAATTATAAAAAATATATTTATTACTTTTAAATACCAGAAAAACCCTTAAATTAAACTAAAGGCAAGAATATAAGCAGCGTCGACCTTGGCCACTCTCACACGGAGTAAGCTCCGAATCTTTTCTTCCGAACAACCAACGCCGGCAGCGCAGTCCACTGATTTGATTTGCTGGAAGGAAGTTGATTGCTTTGAGAAACAAAAATTGACGAAACCCAGAAAAGGCAGCTTTCTGCATTCGGCCTCACCAAGGAAGAATTGCGATTGCTCTTAAAGAATTGCGATTGCTCTTAAAGCATGGCTAGGGCCTTCTCAGTTGCTCATTCGGCTCTCTTCTGCAGAACGTCACTGTTCCAACACAGAAATGGGTTCAAATGCTTCACCTTTAGCATACCCTTTTCCACTGCTGCTGCGTCCTCTCTTCCCATGACTAAGAAGTGGACAAGACCTGTGGCTTCAGCGGTGGAGCTTGGTGGAGTCAAACTTGCAAGAGATGGTAATTTCCCACTTGCTTCATAGAATTTGAAGTTTTACTGACTGGGCTAATTATCAAAATCTAATATTTTGTGCCTGTAATTCTATGCTATGTCTCCTCTGTACGCTGGTTTTATTTTTATATGCTTTGATATTTTTTTGTGTTTGGGTGAAATTTTGATTCATGATTAATTTATTTGATTGGATTGATACTGTATGGATGATGGGGTTTGTAGATGTGGTGAGGGATGATCCTACAAACAATGTTCCAGACACAATTTTTTCTAAACTAGGAATGCAACTGCATAGAAGAGATCAGCACCCACTTGGAATTCTGAAGAATGCAATATATGAGTATTTTGACACTAATTACCAGAACAAATTTGATAAGTTTGATGATCTCTGCCCAATTGTTTCAGTACAGCAGGTACAATGCAACCTCCTTCCTCTTTTATCTGTTGCCTGTTTTTCTTCAACTTGCCATCACTTTTCAAATTATCATTCTTTTGAGGAAAGGAAAACTTACTGGCTTTGTTTTTTCCTGGAAAGCTGTTGAATCTCTTTCCAGTTTTTACACACTATACAGATGGGTGCTGGAATATGGTTTTTGCATTCTTGGAGCCAATATTTTTAGCTTTTCTATGACAGTGAAGTTTTCTCTTGCAGAATTTTGATGATGTCTTGGTTCCTGCCGATCATGTAAGCAGGAGCTACAATGATACATATTATATCAATAGTCAAACTGTGTTGAGGTGTCACACAAGTGCTCATCAGGCAGAGCTGTTGAGGAAGGGACATAATCATTTCCTTGTAACTGGAGATGTCTATCGTAGAGATTCTATTGATTCAACCCATTATCCTGTGTTCCATCAGGTTTCAGATCTTCAATATAGCAAATCACTGTCTATTTAGTCATTGACCTTCTGATAGTGTTTATATTTTTTTATACTCGCGTGCCAATTTACTCATGTACCATACAGATGGAAGGAGTTCGTGTTTTCAGTCCAGACAACTGGGAGGCATCTGGAATTGATGCAACATCGTTTGCAGCTGAGGATCTAAAGAAATGTCTAGAGGGCTTGGCATGCCACTTATTTGGTAAGCTAGAATAGAAGCATATTTTAGTGTATTGAATTTTGCTGATCATTAAGTTTGGCTGTCACACTAAGATATATGGGTTTATAGATCATCTACCATGTTGCATATGGATCCAAACATGTTTATAGTATCAATTTTGTATTCAAAATTTTTTAACATAACCAGCTGCTGTCAAATTTAGATCTCTTTCAAAGTTTATACTCACAAAAGATGTCCTAGCCTCTTAGGATTAGTAATGTGGCATACAAGGTATTTTGTAATTTTTTGTTTTTTGGCTGATATAAGGTATTTTGTAATAGAAGCCTATCAAACTCAATCTGTTAACATTTCAGGTGCTGTTGAGATGCGTTGGGTTGATGCCTATTTCCCATTTACTGATCCCTCTTATGAGCTTGAGATATACTTTCAGGTAGTCTACTCATCTTTTCTATGCGATTTTGGTCACATTTAGATCTAGTAATTGTTTTAATAAGCTTGAATTATTAGGCTGAACTTCACTTCATTTTCTCCTGACTCCCGTTACATAACTCATCAGAATACCTCCTAATTCTCTCTACAAAAGTTCCTCCTGTAATGGTTGCATACTTAGATTAGATGGCAAATTTTGGGATTACTTTGCAGCTCAGTATTGTGGTGACTACTGTATTCCTTTTCATTATCGCAAATTGTCACCATGTTAAGCTAAATTACATAGGTTTCATGCTTTATGTCAGCCCTCATGCAATTTTTTTCTCTTGGATGCACATTTAGTGTATTGCTTGAAATTGATAGATGATACACTCACCATCAGTGTCCAGGGTAATGTTAGAACTTAGAAACTTCCATATTAACCGAACAACCTCCAACAATTGTCAGGAGAAATGGATGGAGGTTTTGGGCTGTGGAGTGATGGAGCAAGAGATATTAAGAAGAAATAATAGACCAAACAATGTTGCTTGGGCTTTTGGGCTTGGATTGGAGCGGTTGGCAATGGTCCTATTTGATATACCAGACATCAGGCTCTTTTGGTCAACTGATAAGCGTTTCACCTCTCAGGTGGCTTCAGCATGAGTTTTCTTCTCTTTTTTTTTTCTTTTTTTTTTTTCCTTTTTTCAGGTTGCTTATTTTCCCTTTGCAAAGTTCATCTTTAACTAATTGAGAGCTGTTTGAATGCAGTTTTGCAAGGGTGAACTGGGGATCAAATTTAAACCCTTTTCAAAGGTGTTAATTATCTTCTTCTTTCGGTTTTATTACAGTTTGTCCTTTTACATTCACTGACAGGTTGCATGGTATGTTGTTGCTTACACCCTGAATTTTCTTGCAGTATCCTCCCTGTTTTAAAGACATAAGTTTCTGGATTAATGAATCATTTACCGAGAACAATCTATGTGAAATTGTTAGAGGTGTTGCTGGGGATTTTGTGGAGGAGGTAAGCAAATATTATGTTTCATAGAGAATTATTCTGGTAATCATAGGGATTAGGGACATTGTTCTAAACTAATTTCCTGTATTAGGTGCAATTGATAGGTAATTTTACCAACAACAAAGGAATGACAAGTCACTGTTATAGGATTGCATATCGATGCATGGAGCGTTCCCTTACAGATGAAGAGATCAATGAGCTGCAGGTACATATATGTGTGTGTGTATGCTTTCCTTTCGCATTCTATATCTGCTTCTTCTATTTTTTCTTTTTGAGTAATTATCTTCATATTTGTGAATGTAGTCGAATGTTAGAGAGCTGGTGGAGAAAAAGTTGAATGTTGTTCTACGATGAGAGTTCCCAATGTCTACTTGAAGGTTGAGAATTACGTTCTCCAACGCCCCCCTAAATGACACATAGGCTTTTACACATTTTATTGTATACACAGAAGAAAGATTTTGAACTAGCAATGAAATGGAAAATACACAGTGTTCCGTAACCTCCTAACCGGTTGTTTCTCTGCCTTTTGTTTCTGGGCATCTTAAACAATAAATAGGATTTTAAATTGAAAGGTGTACTATTTATTGAACTTTATTTATTTTTTATTTTTTGCTATTATTATTATTATTATTATTCGCACTTGACCCTTTGGGCCAAACGGCCTTAGGGCTGCCTTGCAGTGCATTCCCCTCTCCTCCATGGTGGGTTCTATTCCCACCCTTGTAAACTTAATCAAAAAAATTATTATTATTATTCTCTTTCTCTCCCTCTCTCTTTTTTTTTTTTTTGGTTTTTAGTTTTTTACCTTAGTATTTCTTTCTTTAAGTTGGCAGGTAGGTATCATGTAAAATCCTGTCCATGGGACTGATAGACAAAAAGATCAATTTGGTATAACCAGGACAGAATGATAAATTTAATAAATTTTCTTAGCTTCTTGACCACCAAGAATTCTAGTTTAATAGCATCCTGATGGTTCATTATCAAACACGATGAAATGAAAGGGAGGAGCAGGAAAATTTTTAACACACAAATCAAGTACTATTATATACTCTCTCTTTTTTTTTTTTAATGAATCAAAATTATGTTATAGAAATGAGTATAAGGATTATTCATCCATTACATTTGAAAAAACACAACACAAAAAGAAAGAAAGAAGTTTAAGGCTACATCACGCAAATAATTAAAAATATTACTATATATAATTATTAATTATATAACTAAAAAAAAATCTTTAATACGAACTAGTTATTTTCACCGTATATTTTTGAGAACTCCAACGTAACGAAGAGTTGGTGAGTTGCGACCGTACGTTTAATATTCTTTTTAATCACATACACGAGGATTTACTACTTACAAAATTCAGTGGAAAGAAATGGATGAACAAACCAACAGGTTGACAAACATGCTCGTCTTAGATTAACAAACAAGCAGGTTAACAAGATTGAAGGAGAAAGACATGGAGATTGGAAATGCTTGGAAATACAACGGCTGGGGAAGAGATGGATTTCTTTTAATTTCCATTGATGCCGGTATTTGGGGTTTTGATGACTGTTATGTACGAGCACTGCTAGGGGCAATCGCCACCTGCACTTGCCAACTAACACTTGCCCATCCATTTGGCCACGTCTCCTTCCTTTTAATGTGATGGAAGAGTAACCGGTTGGACTTGGGAACCACAAACACAAATCTCCCCTTTTTTCTTTTTTCTTTTTTTTTTTAAATCTTTTCTTTTCTTTATCAGGTTAAATTAATTGAAAAAAAGTTATCAAATAAAAGTACCTTCGTCTTCCTCCCTCCATCCCTCATCCTCTCCTTCCCCATCCCCTCTAACCGGCCGTGGCCACAGAGGCACCTAATCTGAGAGCCCCAATTTTACAAAATTTTAAAAGATTAAAAATTTTATAAATTAATTAAATCAATAATTTTAAACTTAGGTCTTTATTTTTTGTGCCCAATTACCAAAAAGATGAAAAATAAAAATAAATCATTGATAAATTACTCATTTAATGGTTAAATTGTTGGTAAACTAATTTGTTGACAAGTAATTTATTATTATTGATTAAGAAAATGACACTTTTAAAAGAAATATTAA